TTAAAAACATTCTCCAAGATTTGACTTGAAGGGGAGGATGAGTAAGATACTGACGCGAGGGAAATACAAAATGAAGAACCTAGAGAAAGATGTAAGGTACAGAAAATATTTTAATAATGGGAAGAGAAGGATATAGAAAGGGAAGGTAAAGGAAACAAAGTGTAGAAGAGGATAAAGAGAAAAAAAAGAAAGGATAAGTGCAAAATAAGGGATGAGAAAAGAGAGGATATAGGAAAAGGAGAAAGATATAAAATATTGATTAATGAGGAAATGAAATGTGAGGGAAGAAACATGTGAAGAAGAAGAGGAAGAAAAAGACAAAGGTAGGAAAGAGAAATAAATATAGGATGGAGAGAGAGAAAAGAATTTGATCATAAAGACACAATGGGAAATGAAGGGAATGATGGGAAAAAGAAAGCTAACTAAAGACAAAATAGTAGAAAATGAGTAAGAAAATAAAAGGAAGAAAGATTAAAAAGAAAGAAGAGTAACAAGAATATAAAAAAGGTAGAGAAGGAAGGAAAGCAAAAAGAAAGCAAATGCATGAGACAGAAATAAAAGTTTGAATAATGAGAGAAATGAGAAGAGTATAAAGCAAAAAAAAAAGAAAAGAAGAAAAAGAGACATGTTTCATTTGTCATTTTTCCTTCATTTTATTTCATCTTACTTTTTCTTGATACACATCTCTAGCCACCCTCTCAAATAGCAACCATCTTCCTCTTCAACCACCTTCTCGATATAACCAAAGTTGTGTACAATGGGAACTAAATTAGAATGTCTCCAACTTTGATAAAAGAAGCTACTGCCTTCTCTCTAAGAAAGAAAAAAAAAGATTTTAAAAAGTTTTTCAAAATGGTTGGTTGACTACTGTGTACATTCAAAGAATGTAGACCAATTGAGACCAACTTGGTTCTAAATTTGACTTAGAACAGGAAATTAAATCTCCTACAAATACATACGTTTCATTAATTGTACACATACAGATACATCTCTATACTTGTATTAGATGCACATCTATATATATATATATATATATATATATATATATATATATATATATACACACACACATGTGTGTGTGTGTGTGCATGTATGTTTATGGGAATTGTCATACTTTTTCCCCTGAAAATGTTTACTATATATATATATTTCATACAATTTCTTCAATATATATATATATATATATATATATATATATATATATATATATATATATAGGGGAAATTGTATGGCAATATGGAAACAGTTTACTTGTGACACATTTTGTCCTTCAGGAGTTCATCAAACCAAATTTGTTATATTGATATTGCTACACATGTGCACAAAGGAGGAGTGTTGAGGATTTTAGAATTGTTTTTTATATATCTACCAAAATTCCTTTAGAGACTTTTTCTTTTTATCATTATTGTTAGTAGGTAACCCACACTGTGATAATAGAAGATCTGCCACTAATGGTGATATGTTGTAAGAGCCAGGGTGCAAATTTACTTGAGATGACCTTACAATCAAGTCACTCTCTAGGCATTTATGTGTAGTGAATTATTTTCTCCTTTGATCAGAGTAGCATTTTTTATATGAAATTATTCTTGATATATATATATATATATATATATATATATATATATATATATATATATGCATATGTGTGTGTGTGTGTGTGTGTGTGTGTGTGTACATGCACACATTTCAAAGATATATCAATATGTATTCATAAATTTATACATGTATATGCATTAGTGGATACACATACCAAAACTCAATCATCATTGAGGATTAACTGGTAGATTGTAAAAGCAGCTTGTGCCATGTAGCTATCTTCATCTTTCTCACTTTGTCTAGCATAATGAGATTTAGTCAAAATGCCTGACAAGAAGCCTAGTATTGGGAATTTGAGGGTCATGCCTCTTTCGGATGTATTAACTATGGTTGGTGATGTTCTGTGACAAGAACTTGAAATCAATTAGTTCATTCAACTTTTAATGTTTTATGTTCAGTAAATACCTTCACCAACTCTGATATACAAGTATGTAAACATACAGATGAAATACCATATACATTTTTACCTACTACTTTATATCTGCATGCATGCAGAGTAAGCAATTACATATAAATATTTACAGCCACTTAAAATCATATACCTATATAATAAGTATATAATCTGGGACACTTTATTGACACATAATTCATAGAAAATTACAATATGAAATGTACACTGGTATATTTAGTTATACTTATAAGGCTGAATACATATAGTAAAATCATTACATATCTGAATACTGATTACAAAATAAACAAATTTTATATATTTGTAGGTACCACGGATAAAAGCTCATTAGTACAGTTCCAGATCCTTCTCACTCCTTGGAAGAATTCCTCCCTGTTTGACCATGTCTTTATGGTTGTAGTCATACTTACCATGCTTGACCAATTGCATGTTGGTGAGGCTATTTAATCCATTATTGGAGGTTTTGAATTCAGAGGTGTCTTTCTCCTTGACCAGTTGCTACCTAAAGCTATAGGACCCAGTATGTCCTGCTATTTGAGAGAAGAGATGGATTCTTACCTTTCCTAAGGGTACTTACACATAAGTGAATATATTGAACTTGAATGGAATTCAAACTTAGCTCTCAAATTCCTCAATCTGTACTGCTATCCATTACTTCACTGTGATGCCACAATATTTGTAGATATATACTCAAATACATTGTAGAGAAATAATTAAGTGCATCTTTATAGATATAAGCTCAAATAAATGCACAATTTTATTAAAACAAAATTCTCAAACAAACAGAGTTATTCAAGCCTCTCATTTTAATCTTCTTTTAAAATGTCAGTCGCAAGGGTAGGGACATTTTTCTTAGTAAACGCCTTTATTCAGTGCAAGTTTCAAATAAGCCAGAGGTTGTCACACTTAAACTTGGAATTGAGTCCCAATAAATATTAATCTTGACAGAAACATGTCCGTTTCACAGAGCAGACAATTTTTTGATACACGTCTTCATTTACGAAAAACTAATTAGATCCCATACCCAGGAGAGGGCAAAGACTGGGATGATGAGGAAAGAGAGGGAGGAGGATGTGAAACAGAACTGGAAGAGAATATGTTATAACTGAAACATTGTGTACATGAAAATAGGCAATACTGAATTTTGATGAAGATTCCTCATTAAGAGACAACAGGGAGAGGGAAAGAAATACAGGAATAAATTTTGTAAAAAAAAGAATTTCTAAACAAAAAATAGATTAATAAAAATATAAAACATTGGAAAAATGAAAAAAAAGATGAAAGGAAAGAAGAGGAAAGAAAAAAAGGTAAAAAACATAAACAGGGTGAAAATATGAAAAGAAGATAAAGAAGTAAAGAATTGGAAAGGGTGAGGATAAGAGTATTGAAGGGGAGAGGAAAACAGCAAACAAAAGAGGAAATAATAAAGAAAATGACAAGGAAAGGAAGAAAAATGATAAAAATGAGGGTTGAAGAAGATAAAAAAAGAAAAAAAATGATGTGAATAAAAACAAAGGGAATATCATATTAAAAAAAGAGAATTTAAACAAAATTATGAACAAAGAAATGTAAGAAAAATAATTTTTAGAAAAGAAGAAAATTTGAAAGAAAAAATGGAAAAACATTAAAATAATATTTAAGAAAAACAGCAAGAAGAATAAAACTGAGAGGTAGAAGAAAACTAAAGATGGCAATGAAAATGAAAAAGAAGCTGAAAAGGAAAGGCCAAGTATTTTTTGAGTGTAATACTTTGTATAAGGTGATATTAGCTTTCCTAGTTGTTAAAAGTAAGGAGATGAAGGATGGTGGCATTCATTGGTTTCTCATTAAACAAACAACTGAAACTTAATTAATGAGAAAAGCTGAAACATAGAACAGGCAGGACTTACATCAACAAGCAACACAAGTGGCAGCAAATATAGCCAGGAGCAAGTGGAAACAAGCGAAAATATTGAAAATATATAATTAAATTCAACTTCATACATACAGGCATACAGAAGTGCGTGCATTCAGGAAAAATAACCTGGTTTTGCCTGGCATGAAATTACTTTCTTCATTATCAGTCAAAATCAGGGTTTATTAAATAACTTTTTTTCATAATTTATATTATTTAACAAGAAACAGTGATTGGAATATACACTGAAGCATATAAACTCACTTTTTTATAAAGGAATATGTTCAAAGACACAGCTGTTTACAAAACTTAGATTCATTTTTGGTACAGGCTAAAAGCTTGAAGTCCCCAATGAAGATTAAAGTCACTACTAATGATCTGTGAGACCATCTTGCTTAACCATTACACCAAAATCAGTCTCTGAAAAACATTTTTTTTTTAAAGCAATTCACCCCAAACAAGGTGGGAGTGCCACTAGCATGCAATGGGTTACAGAGGATTAAGAACAGGAGTAAAGAGGCATGTTTGAAGAAAGAATACAAAGAAAGACAGGGAACAAGCTCAGGGTGTCAGATGTCAATTGACATTACGCTTGAATATTCAAAGATTATAGTCATCAGGGAAGCAAGTAAGGGTTTTCCACAGACGTGAAGTGTGAGAGAAGAAGCTGTTTGAGTAGAAAAGATAGTTACATTTAACTGTTTTGACAGTGAAAGGGTTGGACTGAGATACCAGCCTGATAACTCACTTAAATTCATGCAGTCTGAGAACCAGCAAAAGTAGCTTGTTGGAACAGTTGCTGTGAAAATAATTGCACAGAGCACATCTGTGGGAAAGCGATTGTAGACTAGATGTGAGACCAGAACCTCTCATATTGCATATTTGTCCTTGGATTTTGTTGAGGACCTCGAGGCATACAGTAGGAACACCAGTGCATATATGACAGCAATATTCCATGCAAGGATGGATGGTTGATTTATAGATTTGAAGGATAGACTCAGATGAAAAAAACTTTCTGGCACAACACAGAGAACCAACTTTCCTTGCAGTAGATGAATCTATAGATTCAATGTAGTTGTTCCACTTCAGGTCAGTGGACAGTATAAGACCAAGCAGGTGCAGAGAGGTGCTCTCATGGAGTTGGGCATCAGCTATCCTGATGGGAGGCAGGGAGGGTTCTTTATGGTGGGTAACTGAGAGCAGTTTTGTTTTTGAGGTATTAAATTTACAAGCCATTTCCTGCCGCAGTCAATCACAGATTGGAGGTTCTTCTCGAGATCAGCGGCCAGATTAGTTTTGTCAACGATATCAGATTTACTACTGAGGCAGGAGTAAATAGTAGTGTTGTCCAGGTAGATGCCTACTTAGGAACTGATGACAATGAGAAGGTCACTGATAGTGATCAGGAACAGGGCTAAGATAGAGCCTTGGGGAACACCAGTGTTTATGATATAGTAGCTGGAGGAGAACCCATTTATGACAACAATCTTTTTGCAGTTTGACAGGAATGATTGTATTAAGTCAAGTAATTGTCCTGTTATACCGTATCCCTGAAGCTTATGAAGAAGGCCAGCATGCCAAACTCTATCAAACACTTTAGAGATGTCTAGAGCCATGTTTCGAGCTTCTCCATTATTGTTGAGTGCTTGGTATATAAATTCAGTTATGGCCGTGAACACGTCAGCAGTAGATCAGGCAAAGTGGAAACCATATTGTTTGTCAGAGAGCATATTATGTGAAGTAAGACGTGCAGAATGTTGCATGCAAATAGACTGCTACACTAGTTACCATAAATGTTAACCACTTTGGCATTGATTAAAGCCTCAAAGACTTTATTGAAGAGTGGTAGGAGACTGATAGGACAGTAGTTAGATGGGTCAGAAGGGTCTCCAGAGTTTTTAAAGATGGGCACAACAGATGAGGACTTCCAACAAGCCGGAAAGCAAGAGTCAGTGAGGCAGTAGTTGTAAAGTTTAGAGAGGATGGAAGCCAATTCAGGAGCACATTTCTTCAGGACAAAGTATCCTGGTCTCAGCCTTATGGGAGTCTATTTTAGAGATGATGTCCAATACTATCATTGAGATTACATGCATCTCACTCAGTAGAACCTCAGTTCTAGGAGGAAAATCAGGTGTGGGTACACCAGGTGAGTCTAGTGTTGAATTGGATGAGAATTTAAAACATAGGGAAAATTTCATCATATCACCAAAAACATAGGAGAAATTGCAACATTTCTCTAAAAATATAGGATATCATGTATCATGTCTCAAAACCAGGAGCAATTGGATCATGTCTCAAAAAACATAAAATTACATAATGTCTCAAAAAACATAAGAGGAATTGCAAAGAAAATCATTAAGAAATTTATAAGGATTTTTAAATTATGAATAGATTACTCTGTTTTGCAGATATTATCATTTGAAAGATGAAAGATGAAATCTTGTGGTTATCTCCCTTTAGTAAATAAATATATTCAGGTAAAATATAATTAACACAGACTTTATATATATATATATATTATATAAATGGGCATTTTGAGCAACACATCAAAGCCATTTGGCAAATTACCAACATTTCATAAGTGTTCTTCATTGAAATCATCAAAGTGAGCTACTGTAGAAGAAAAACCCTGCAAGATTTTTCAGTTTATTGTTTGCTTGCTTCTTTTCACACCTTTCTGTTTATCGCTTTAAAAATGTTCAAGTCAATAAAGAAGTGTGAATAATTCTGCATTGCTCCAGATCTAATGAGGCTAAGGTTCTTTTTATTTTCTCTATTATAAACTCTGACTTGTGAAAGATGCAGGTGATTGTGGATATTGTTGTTTACAGAATTGCACATGTGTGAATATATGTAGTTGCATCTGTGAATGAGTTTATTAGTATATTAATGCCTATGTATATAATAAAGTTGGAAGTGCCATTCAAGTATAAAAATAATAACTTCTTTTTCTGTGAGTCTATATATAATTAGCCATATTCTCAATTAACAAGTGTCTATGACGACCCTATACTAATGTGTGAATGTAATTAAATATGCAGTTGCATGGAGATGTGAATATATGATTTGAAGAAAGAATATCTATTTGGAAGATATAAAGGAAAGTATATATAGAATATCTACTTTAGTCTATGGCAGTGAATCCTCGAAGATGAAGAAGAAGAAACTTAAAGTAACAGAGAAGCGATTTTACTGATACATGCTAAGAATAACATAGAAAGAAATCATGTGAATAATGAGTAAGTTTTAAGGAAATTAGGAATGACTAGGAAATTTATACTTACAATCAGATAGAGATAGTTGAGCACATATTGAGTAAAGAGAGCTTGGAGAATTTAACACCCACAGGATTTACTGAAGACAAGAAGAGCAGTACACTCAAACATAGATATACTGATGTCTTGATAGCTATTTACAGTTATCTGATATTTGTAAAACAAAAAAAAGTGTATTGAAATGCTATAAAGATGCTGGCATCCTGAGATAAGTTTAGCAATGGTAAGTTTATAGACATAATAAATAAAGTATACAACATTGGTGGTATACTGGAAGACCTAGGTAGATCCATTTTCATAGCACTCCCTAAGAAGTCAGGTGTAAATGAATGTGAATGCCATTATACAATCTGCCTAATGAGCCACAGAAATTATCATGTGAGTCCTGTTGAATAGAGTGTGAAGCAGAATTAGACTGAGATAGGACAAGAACAGTCTGGTTTCATTAAAGACATTAGAACAAGGAATGTGATGTTTATACTCAGATTTATGTTAGTGTTATATCGGAATAAAGTGTCACTGCCCACACTTGAGTTTGAACATAGATCACCAGTGAACAAACACAGACAATCCCATTATTGAATTAAGTAGACCATGTGACCATAGAGGAAATGCATATATTGATTTTCCAAGTATAGCTTAGATATGGCACAAGGCAGAAAGTAGGGGGCACCCAGTGAAGATCGAACTCACTACTCTAATTGATCTAGCAAGACAAGCTTTCTAACCATTACACCACGTCGAGGTGCCCCAAAGAGGAAATGCATATATATTGAAAGTAGTTGACTACTAATGATTGTTATTCCTCGTCTATACTCTATTACTATTCATACCATTATTCTCTACTCTATTCCCTATAATATTTCTCTATTCAGATCACTATATGGATTACTGTTCAAGCGAGTATTATCAAGCAAGTACTATTAGTGCAAGCTTATTTAGAGACCTCTGACACCAGTATTGTTTAATGACGTACTATAGCTGTATCTGTGATTACAAAGTCTCTACTAGAATGAGCATTACAAAAGTGACGATGAGTATTTGTTGACATCACAAAAGAAAGAGTGATACAAATGCAAAAGGAAGTATACTTATGTTTTATAGATTATGCAAATCATTTGATAAAGTATGCCACAAAGAACTATTGGAACTGTTAGGTAATACTGACATATCTGGGAAGGATATAAGAACAATCTAGAACCTATACTGGCAGAAAACCACCTGGATATGCATAGAAAATTAATTCAATAAACATATAAAAATAAAAAACGGTGTTCAACAAGGATGGCTCTTCTTACTGGACTTATTCAGCCTATACAGTCAGGCATTTCTGAGAGAATTAGAAGTCAAACCAGGATTAATTATTGACAGCCACAAACTTAACAACATAAGATATACAGATGACACGGTGTTGATAGCATACAAAGAAAGGAAACTACAAGAATTCCTACAGAAG